AAGCACGAAAAGAAATTCATTCCGTGCAAAGAGAAGAAAGTTTACTCCATCCCCTTGAGCTGTGGCCATCAATACATAGGACAGACCGGCAGATGCACCAATCACAGACTCCGCGAACATCACAACGAAGTTTCTAAGGCCTCTCCAGATTCTTATCATCCTATAGTCATACATGCCCGTTCGTGTTTGCGTTGTCATCCCCTCTTTGATGGCACAAAAATCCTTGGGGGGCATGACAGCAGATTCGGCAGGGAAATCATAGAATCATTCGCCATGACCACAGCAAAAAACAACGTGTCAAATCCTTCCCTCCTGCTGACGAAAACTGAGGTTGAATTTTTAAAATCCGAGATAACCCTACCACCCTGACTTGCACTTCGCGTGTTTTATCTTTCCTTCTCTCCCCTTCTCTCTCTACTCCTACTGGGTATAGTCGGCTGCTCGCTGTTGAAAGTTTACTCGTCTGTTGCTAGTTGAAAGATGTAGTTGTGTTGTCCCTGTTTTAATTGTTTATTCTTTCTTCATTCATGACTTAAACCAACACGCTCTTCTACTAAGAATGTACTCTGTTCATTCATATATTTCTACGCTTTGTTACGCCCGAATAGCGATTGAAATCAAGCAGTAAATTGAACTCATTTCTGAACATTGGTTCGGCCGAACTCTTTTTGTTTCCGATTTGGCTCACTTCTCATTTCACTCAAGAAACGCGTTTCACTGTGTGAACAAGCATTTAATTAATGGCATGATATGACCTTGGCGAGTCTTACTTTTAATCCTTTATAGGCGTATGTACAGTTTATATTCCCATAATAATATTATAATATCTTTATTCAACCCTGGAGGTTGGCAGCACCACAGGAAGGTCGTTGGCCCGCATCTAAGGCTTATGGCGTCCCATTAATACAAAAAAAAAACACTTCTAAGCTGAAAACAAAAACACCCACACATAAAATAAATATTGTTACGTGGTTCTGAGACCAAGCAAGGAGACGTCCGTTTGCAGTTCGGCTTTTGAATTCGAAACTGCCCGCCACCGGCTCGAGCCGGTGGCTCGTGCCCGTGGCGCCGAGATAGCCCGTCGTCGTCTTCATCGTAGCAATATTTGCAAAAGAAAGGAAAGGAAAGAAACAAGAGGTAGGGTCCATTGTCCCTCAAGGAAGCGTGATTCTTCCCTACACCAAGCTTTTGAGGTGTTCCTGCTCTATGGGGAGTGTACTCCATCATGTCCTTTGCAAGAGAGCGCCAGAGCGCCGCAGTTCCAATTACCAAACGAGTTCCTATACCCCCCGGTACGCCAGAAGAGTCGCTGCAGGCCATAGGCCCTGGTTTGGCGAAAATGCTGCAGTAGCGGCAGCTCGGAGTCCCTCTAAAAGATGCGGGTTTTTTCGAGCTGGAGGGTTGCCACTACTTGACGATGCGTCAGAGAGGTCAATCCCAACACCCTCAAGAGCTCTTTTGCAGGAAGGTCACGGCAGCGCGTAAGGCTGTAAGGCAAGGGGAGGCATTCCGCCTTCGATCCGCATAAGCAGAGCGTCGCTGCACACTTTCGAGGGATGTTGATAACGAGAGTTGGTAGGAGTCCCAAACAGGCGGCACAGAACTCCAGGCGTGGTAGGACTACTGTAGTGTATAGGTGTCGCAGAGCAGTATCGCCAGCCCCCCGGGTAACCCGAAGCAGAAAACCAAGAATCCGCCTGACACCGGAAGCCGCCTCACCAATGTGAGCTAAGGAATTTAATTTAGGGTCTACTGTTATTCAAACGAGCCTTGCGCGATCGATAGGAGGGAGTGCTGTTTCGTTGAACTCGAGACTGCTGAACGGAAACACGGCTTCTGGATGTAATATTCAGGGTTGATGTGTACTTGCTGTAAACTAGGGGAACATGTTGTTTACGAACCAAACGCGGATAACGTACAGGAGATCTTGAAGTTGTTGGTGCTGGAAGTAGTGCTGGACCGGCTGGATAATAATGAGGTCATCGGCGTACAGACGGGGCATGCAATGCTAGGAGGACGTTAAATCATTAAAAAAGGCGTTGAACAAAGTTGGTCCAAGAAAATTTCCTTGAGGGATTCCCGAAAGAAGACGTTTAGCGCTTGATACTGCTTCTCTAAAGGCAACTGTTTGGAGACGATGTTGTGGAAAGACAGATATCCAATTCTCACGACAGCCGTACTGTCAAGGTGAGAGAAGTTTGTGCTGCTTGATGTGCGCCACGAATTCGTGTTTTGTGGAGGATTCGTTCTATTTTTCTGCAGATGACTGAGGTTGTCAAAATGGGCCGGTATGCGGCAGCTGATGAGGTTGGGGAACTATTCCCTTTATACACCGGCGTGATCCGAGTCGGTTTACACCGGTAGGGGGCGGCTAGCCCGTTGAACGTTGGTGAACAGACCCAGGAAAACCATGCTGAAACGTCCGGAGCAGGGCCAAAATAGGATGAAGGCCATTGGGGCCGCCACTTTGGAGTTAAAAGATGCCAGATGTGTGGAGGATGTCGGGCACAATCCTGGCTAAAAAGAATTGGTCATTAAAAGATCCTCTCTGGCTTAGTAGCTATGTAGGGTGTCTCAGTCAACCACAGACTCCGAGGAGGACGATGAATTTCCTCGATGATTGACATACGATGAGAACACGTCCAGACATTTTACTGCTTTCTGCGTGATTGTGTTTACGCAGGAGCTATATGAGGTCCGTCTGGGCCTCTCATGCTTAACTAAGGTAGCGTCAGTTGTATGTATTGTTGGCTCTTTTAAACAAATTCTCTTCTGCGGGGAAAGCTGCAGGATGCTCTTGATCATTCAAGGAGCCTCTGCTGTACACCGGGAGTTTTGAAGGGTACACAATTAATTTTAATTGCAACTTCTTTATATAGCTATATGTTATGCACATGAATGAATTACGAGCTGATGTTTGGTTTACATGCGATAAACTATACTGAACTTAACAGGTAGGTAGAGGTGACGCTGGCTAAAGATTTGTACCAAAATATATTACATGAAACAATGTCACTGTCACTCACATCTTGCAGGTTTGGCCCAAGGCCAGTACGATGTCCAAGGTTTCGTGAAAGGTAAGTTTAACCGGTTCGCGAAAAGACGTTGTACAAACCAAAAACTTGGAACAAAGATGGGCTTGTTCCAAAGAAATGCGCAATCAGCCTGGCAATTTTTTCTTTTCAACTGGCGTGTAATTTATATATGCGCTGAACTTGTAACCGTCCACTTGCAACAGAAACTTCTCGAACGTACCAACATTTTAAACCTTTAGGGTATCTCACGTATTATTCTACTGCGGGAACCACCCTGTTTAGAATTCGCGGAAGGTTACGTTTTGTTTTATATTTGACGAGTGCAACTTGATCGTCGTCAAAGAGAGGTAAGCTGGCAAAAACACACTAAGTAAAATACATCAGCAATTGTAAGTGCTGAAACATTTTTATACATATTTAATATATAAAAGAACATTCAGGTTTTGAGTTTGGCAGTTTGGCAGCGCTTTTTGTGTCCTCGTTTATAAAATATGTTGCAAATTGAACGTATTAGAAAATGAAGTGTGAAAAACTAACAGGCCGAAAATGTGGCACTCTACTGTGATAAAACTTGGACCGGGAACAAATAAAAATTGAACAACCAGTGTAGCTTTTTTCCTGAGAAGCACTTACAAAATAGTTCAGCTAAGTGTTAAAAACGCGACTTGTATTTTATAAAGCACCTGAATCATTTCATGAACTTAGTTGCGGCCTCTAACTGGGGCTCGCCGGAAATAGTTAGTGCCACCGAACAGAACATAAACTATGTTTCTTCTTTATTCTTTTTTTGCAAACCCTATTATTTTTTAAGCCAGAACCGCGAATAACCCGTAGAAGTGTAAAATTCAATTAGCGGTGACGCTTTTACATTGCGGTTAGACTTCGCTCCCGCTCCTGGAAAATATTTGAATGGGTTAGAATATGATGATTTACGTAGAAAGAAAATAAATATCGCATGTTGCTCCCATTCAAAAGTTAAACGTTATATATGCAGCAATAATACCTGCTATGACTGCTTTGTTTGATATAGTTTTTAAGGAAGTTGGATTGCCAGGTCTCCGTATATTGGGCGATTATTAAAATAAGCGTTGTAACATCTTTTTAATATGCGTTCCCAGATGCTGTCCCGGCCAAGAATGTTAGCGCGAAAGGTAAGCTTGCTGGTGAACACAATTGCTTAGTGTCACTTCTTGAGCCTGATGCGAATGTCATTGAAATAATAATTTCACCTAAATGGGTCTAAGTTTTAACTAAGCCTCTAGTTAAAACTGCCACGAAAAATCATAAAGAGCGAGCAAACAAAAAAAAATTGATTGTCATCTACATTTTGACACCTGACTAGCAGCATGCACTGCGCGTTTCTTACATATAATGACAAGAGTGATTTGAATTTTCAATCATAAGTGTTTCGTGCAAATCACTGCTATACACAAAAATATGTTTTGCTGAAGTTCGGGTAGTGAGGAGGCACGAACGAAATACAACTTATGTATTCGATTAAAATTAGATCTACGAACTCGGTCATGGTTTGATCACAAATCTTTGTTGGCATCACAAATTTTCCTTTAAACAATTTCTGGTAGTTTCAAAATTAAAATTGCGAATATATTAATTTTTTTTTTAGGTCAAGACCTACTCTTTCGTGTGGAATACATCAAAGGTAAGTAACAACCAATACAGAACAGAAAACCCGTTCATAATTGTTCGAGACTTTGAATGCTAAAACAAAGTTACCAGAGATAAGTCGCACTTGTGAGCCTTTTGCGCTGGCCTTTCTTTTGAATCGTGTGCATTCATAAAATAAGTTACTCCCTCAGATGTTACAAACAAAAATACGCAAATACTGAAACAACAAACGTTGCTATTTTAGTTATGGAAGTTCGCTTTGTACAAGAGAAATAACACGCGTTCCACTTGCAATATTAATTTCTTGTTTTTATAAATGCTCCGTTTCCTTCCTCTACCAGGAAAACTGTATGCCGGCATTAATGACCTTGGTGAGTAACGGATTTATCAAAACTTTTATTAGAATACAAATTTTGCATTTTTTGTTTTGTTGCTGTGTATAAATTAGTTTATCATAGTGTTAACACATTAGAATGGCCACATCTAACCCGTTTTGTTCTGCATTTTGCCGAAAATCACAAATAGTGGTGCTAATATTATGTTGCTAGACAACTAAAAATATTGTCATTATTTTTTTAAAAATTTAGTTTGTACATTCATTTCGAAAATATTTTCAATCTCTATATGAAGCCTTATATTCGAGCACAGGATATGACGCTGACCAGGATCTTTATGCAGCTGCTAATAAAAATCATTATTTGAAAGATTTCCCAGGCTGCATTGACACCAAAGTTTCAGAGTGTAGACTCCATAAACATATTCTATATTGTGTATTATCTTAAATATTTTGTATTAAAACAATTACCGTCGAGTACTATTTGAAAGATTTTGAACTACTGTGCACACATTCTTTCAGTACCTCGAATTTGAGTAGTGCATAAAATTTGTAAAGCACAGTACTGCTGCATGAAATATTTTTGCTTCACGCAGGAGCACATGTTGAAAAAAGAGGGCGAAATAATATAATGATTGAAAAATCACACATAAATTTTACTAGTTTGATTTGTGTTTGAAAATAAAGATGATTATTATTATTAAAAGTAATATTCATATTGTTTTATATACAACAGATTTATTACAGTGGAGCCGTTAAAGGGGTACTCCACCGATTTTTTGAGCTACCTCAACTAACTATATTCTCTGACTTCCCGGCCTTTACTCTCTCCGGTATGCTATTCAGAATCGCGAAATTCATAATAGTTATTGCGAAATCGGCAAATGAAAATGATGCAAAAACCAACATTCAAATATACGCGCGCTTTTCAGGGCCGTGACGTCAGTGGCAGGCAGGCTTGCCAGTCGAGCAAGCAGCCAAAAAATAGAATATGCCGATCATTTGCTCCGTGCTGGAGCGCGGGTACTGCAGCGAGCTTCCAAAGCATTCATTTGACTCCATGAAACTGCTTCGAATCAGTTTAAAACAAAATCTACAGCCCAAAGAGTGAACCCCTGCCTTCCACTGACGTCACTTTTTCACTGTTGCCAGTAGAGACTTCGAGCTTGAAAAACACGGTGAGGACCAAAACTGTAAATTCAATAACTTCGCGAAAAAACAATATTTTGACCTAATATTTGGGATACTATTTTCGCGATGTTTGTTGGTTAGTTTAGCAAAATTTCAAGCAAATCGGAGATAATGAAAAAATGGGTGGAGTAGCCATTTAAGGGCTAGGTTCCCCAGGATCGTGTCCGGTATGTCGACAGAAACCTACCTGGACAGCTACCGCCATCTATGTGGAACGGCGGCAAGCACACAACCAGTATGGTTTCCGCCGTCGCTCGTAGATGGCGGCCACCTTTCCAGCTATCATAGAAGAATGGGTGGTTGGGCGCGTTGGTGGTAATTCATCGTGGAAACATCGCGAAAAACAGACGACGAAGAAGAAGAAGCACACATAACGAGCGCAACGCTCGTCACGTTCGCTTCTTCGTCCCCGTTTGTTTTGCGCGCTGTTTCCTACGCTCTTATCAGTTTCGGTTTGACTCACGATGAGTCGGCCGCGCGCCCTTTCGGGAAAAGGAGACAGGCTGCGGAAGGGGCGGCGACGTACGCAGCAGCGCGAATGGGTCCGCAACCGCCGCAAAGCCGCTGTCGCCTCGACTTCCAATGCGTCCAGCGCTTCAGATTCCCTTGCCAAAGAGCACATCGCTCGCCTGGAAAGCCGCCGCCGAGAACAAAACCAGCGATGTAAAGGGCGCCGGCGGGCCAACGCCACAGACGACGATCGTGCCACGGAGGCCAAGCGCAAGCGCGAGGCCCGGCGACGACTGCACTCCACGCCGGCTGAACAGGTCCCGGGAGCGACGGCGAGGTTCTGGAGGGAGTTCGTGGAGAACCCGTTTGGCCTCATGTGCGCCGTGTGCGACCGACTCTGGTTCGCCGGAGACGTATCCACGATCGGCGGCGTGTCGTAGAGAGGAAGCGGGAATCGGGCGCGTGCGCGTTCCGGCAGTGTATCGAGTAAGCTCCGCTGGTCTTCCTTCTTCACGAGAGTGGAAAGGCTGAACGTTTTTCTCTTTTGCCGTGACGCGTTGAAGTTATATCATTAATGTTTGTGCTCCGTGGTCTTCGGCCTTCGCCAGATGAAGCTGTAGAAAAGTATTGTAAATCACAACACTTTTAAATTCACCTATTTTCGTGTGCTATCTGGTATACCTCTAAACGCTATATTAAACCATAATGCGTGAACATCTCTATGTTACAGGTGACGTGTACGATGAAGTTAAAGCTCTTTTCACCAAGCGTAAGTCACTCTTTAATGACGCTCAAGCTGTTTGCTTGTATCTTCATCGCCTTAGCTTCAGCGGCACAGCAGGTCTACATTGGTATACGGCTCCAGCCTTTCTGCTGCATCGTGGCTTTCCTGAGCCGAAATAAATAATAATAATATTATTATACTCTTCATACCGAACAGCATTTCCTTTTATATATATTTGTATACCAGGAATGTATTGAAACAAACAAGTTTAGACTTTTAGAGTATTGTTTCGAGTCTTTAAGCTCTATTTTTGTTTAAATGAACAGGATCATAATAATCCTACCACGTATTGTTTGAATAATCTAGATGTAGGAAATGTTCATCAGAACCAGACTTTTTTATGAAGATGTAGAAACTCATAACCTAAACAATGAACCTCCTTGCCTTTACAGAGGGTGTTGACTTCAAGAACAGCGTCCAGAACACTGGTAAGGAAGTTTGTGTATCCTTAGGACCGACAGCTCACCCTATGTTATATTATCTCAGCCTGCTCTGAGCGAGACAGAGTGCGAGCACTGACATACGAGCATAAAGGGAAACTGAACCGATATGCGGTGTTCACAAAACAACGCTGAAACGATAGGAGGGACGCTGTGAATACTAAAATTGCAACATAACTATTAAAAATATAAGCAAAAGATCTACTTTAAAAGTTTTTCTTTGATTGTTTTCTTTACCGTAACGGTAGCCCCATCACCCAAATTCCGCAGAGCATGTTAAATGCAGAATGAAGACGGCACACATGTAACAATCACCCAGCTGTTTTATAAAATTTTGTTAAAAAAACATTAGAAAATGTTGAATAGTTCAAAAAATGTTTCGTTGCATGTAAGGTAAAACTCAATTGTAAACTAACCCTGTCAAGATGGTTAATATAGGATAACAGGTACAGGACATAAACCTGCAATATTTATAAGCGCACTATCGCAGGAGAGATAATAGAAATTCACGTTGAAAGAAAACGTGAAACGCAAAAACAATATCATACATTTGAATTCAATCCTGTTGGTGCTTATAGTTTTTTTTGATTTTGAAATACTTGTCACTATCATGGGTCCCTACATTTACCATTTATACTCAAAAACGTTAGGTAACAATGTTATCCGAATTGTTGTGAGGCTGACTATTAATAATATTTTGAATTTAATCATGTTTGAGCTAATGTATCACAATATGCTGAAAAATAAATCTGTAGAAGTGTCTCATCCACCACATGAATCTAAGATGATCTCCCCCACAAATATATTTGAGTGTTTTAATGGAGGTTAATAAATTACCTATAATTCAGCTCCTAACATAACTTACGCAGGGCTTGCCGCTTTGTCAAATTGCCTTCATTTGCTTTCCCCCGTACAGGAACAAAGCTGATGGAAACAGTGAAAGGCACCATTGGTATGACTCATCGTTTTATGCGCCACATATTTATGCCCGCCCACCGTTTAGCCTTCTTACACGTGTTATAATAATACCACAATCATGATGGGAGGACATCTATGGCGGTAATTTATACAAACAAGCCGTTAGATATAAGCAGGAGGTTCCAGTGTGGTTATATTCATCTGCTTAATAAAGACTCCACCTTAATTTTCCTCATAACCTGGTGTGCCAAAGCCAGTTTGAAAAAATCATCCCTCAACCTACGATTTAAGAAATGGGTAATGAAATGGGCAATCTATGCATGTAACGTAAAAATTCGGAAACATTTTTTTTTCAAATTATGAATGACAGTGTTACAACGATACACATATATTACATTCACAATTTTTCACCCGAAATCTTAAAAACGGGGCTGTACTTCTCAGATGCTTCGTTACAAAACACATCACAATTTGAATGTTTCGCTTGTCTTTTATAATGCCTATAATGTGCGCATTCAATTTCGATTAAAGGAAAACAACGAATCCCGCACATTTTATGTCTGGCTTTGTAAGGGCCACCGGCTTCATTATGGTACGTCGAGAATGGTAAGGCTGAGCACGTCGCTGCTTCTGTTCAGCAGTCTGCTCTTCAGCCCTTTTGCTTCCTTTTGCGAGGCATACTGCAGGCTGCACATCCAGTGAGAGCTTGATCCCATGGACCACGGGTTTAAGTGATAAGGATAGGAAGAGCGTTCGTGTTCCTATGTGTCCCGTGCATGCTCATCCGTTTTGAAGGGACGACTAAAAAGTTTCAGGAGGTGACTTAGAGAAATGTACCACAGAGCTTAATACATAAGTATAAACTAACTGTTAAACCAAACTAATTTTTTGCAATATTACTGTGCCCAGTATAATGTGTTTTGCCCTAAAACGTTTTTGCCTAATTACCTTAATAGCAGATCAAATTGCTTGTTACTATCAGTTCTAATGGACGCATAAATCTTTTTTTTTTTTTTTTGCTTTGCAGCAAATGTCAACGTGGGAAAAAGTGATCTTGGTCAGTAATTCATATCAGAGTTTAAGCGCTTGGAAATAGTTTGCACCTTAACTTTAACAAGATCCTTTCATCGACCTACTTCCGTTCTCTTCATAACCTTGTGAAAGTAGATCGTGTTCTGAATATTATTCTAAATTACAATAAAAGACAATACTGTTGTAGCGTCGCCACAGAGAACTCCCTATATTCATTTTATTTTCAAGCCCATAAATCTTCAGATCATAAAAATCAAACGTTCACGACATTATACAATCTGATCAATTTGCATGCATAATGTCGCACCATAAATATATACACTGAAGTTATGCTTTGCAAAGTATTACGTACAGAACCCACAAAAACTACACGAAGGTTAGGCTGAGCTCCGAGCTACTTACTACACTTCATTTGACCATTTTTGTTTATGGACTTCAGCTGCATGAGGATAAAAATGTATGTTTACTGACAAACTTATTCAGCTAACATGAAAACGTTTTGTAGGTGACCGAATATATACGGTGAAAATGTCGTCGCTGCACGTTTATATCTCTGCTCATACATCAACCAAAAGTTTTATTATCCTGAAAAAAGCACACATTACACAAGAAACAAAGAATGGCATCCGAATAATTGAGATTAATAAATACGCTTGTGAATTGCCGCAAGTTAGTAAGCCATAAGGTGGTGCTACTGCCTCTCCTGTAAACGACAAATTTACCTATCATAACCAGAGACAAATGTCTTTGATTTGCAAATTTAGATTTTTAAATTTTGTTATATGGGGGTACTCTAGCGTTTTTTCTATAGTCCCAGATTTGCATAAAAATTTTGTAAACGCACCAACAAAGACCGCTGATACAGTAACCTAAATACTGGGCCGAAATTGATTTTTCGGCAGTTATTAAACTAACCATTGTGGTCCTCAGCGTGTTTTTCAAAGTGAAAGTCGCTACTTGCTGCACTAAGAAAGTCAAGTCATCGGAAGTCAGGTGTTTATGTCTTTGGCTTGCAGACTTTTTTCCCACTGCGTGATAACAAGCAGTTTTATGGGGTCAATTAAATGATTTGGAAGCTCGCTCCAGCGTCCGCGCCGCAGCACCGAACAAATGCTCGGCATCTTCCATTTTTAGGCAGCCCACTCGACCTGAAAGTATGCCTTCAATCACGATTATGAAAAGCGCGAGTATATTTTAATGCTGGTTTTGGCATCATTTTCACTAGCTGATATCACTGTAACTATTTTGCAATACTAAATAGCATGCGGGAAAGAGAAAGGCCGGTGATTTTGAAGATTTCGCTAGTTTATGTAGCTTAAGTAATCGTCGGAAAACCTCTTTAGCGATTTCTGTCGTGATCTATAAAGAAAAGATACGAGACCAATTAGGTATTTCGATCCCTTATATTTACGTAGTTAAAAATCACTGTTTTTAATCATTCATAATTTGTTAACATTAAAATATCTTTCAGAGTCCCCAAATCTTGTTCAATTCAACATTTAATAAAAAAAGTGGCATAAAGCCTTCGCATAGAGTATTTCCTGACTGTCATTTCCCAGGGCGTTAAAGGCATTTAAAAATGCTTTTAACGCCCTGGGCAAGCACAGTGAAAGTTTTTGAAAGTTTCGCTTGGTGTGAAATAAATATAAATATTTATTTCACACCACGCAAAACTTTCACAAATATGTTCTCTAAACGATTTGAACACCTTGAGCTGGTTAACATAAATTTCTTGAAATGAAACGGAGATAAAAACCGGGAATATGTACATTATATTTGTGTAGTTACAAATTGCAACAATTATCTTTTTTTTTCTTTTTAATCATAGAGGTCCTTTACAATCAGCTGGGCGAAATTGTTGCCAAAGGTAAGCGACATGTTGTCACACCTCATGCGATAACTTATGCGGCAAACTCGGTCATTCTGGGTAAAACTAAGTCACAACGAAATGCCATACGTCATGGAACACTGATTACCGTGCGACTGAAGCGGTTTTGTTATTGAGAAAAAAATATTTAAATCGTTTTTACTTGGCCCCCGTATTACGAATGTCAAAAATATTCTTCAGACTGATGCGCCAAGTAGCCACAATAGCGCTTTCAAGTAGCGCTGAATTCCCTCCTTTCCGTCACGTTCGGTGCACCGAGGGAATCATGACGTACTATTATACAGAGGTCTTAAAATTTCCGGTCATTCTCCAAGGGTTACCCTAGCAGGCAAAATTGCTCCCTGCGTTGCCTCCGAAGCGGCATGCGCCAAGCAGCGGAATCTTCTGAGTACGACGTAACACAAAGTTTTTTTTTTTTTTCCGCGTCTGTAGATATGTTTTGGGTCACATTCTTCCGATATTTAAAGTCACGCGTATAAAAGATACATCAGAATTCACCACTGACTCGTTCTTACTCAAAACCATATTCAGCGTCCCTTTAAAACTGCATCCGCTTCATGAGGGTCTCAATTTTAAATTACTAAAATTTTGTATCCTAAAAAAAAAAAAAATTAAGCCGTATTTCTTTACATATAGCTAAATGCCCTTAAGCTTGTCAACTGTCCACACTTCGGAAAAAAATTAATGCATTCGATTGATCACAGTAATCTGCAATAGAGAGGTTTCTTTTTCTTCTTGCTTTATTTTCTCATTTTCACATAAACCACAAAGCAGACACTGGTTGAACATGGCTAAAATTGCGTGCAAATAGAAAGGAACAGAGGAGAGAGAAGAGACAACTTTATCCTCTGTCCCTTTCTTTTTGCGCGCAAATTTAACCATGTTCAATATCACCAACTCGCCAAACTAACCACCTTATTAGAGACAATGCTTCCTTAAGAGAAAGTTACTCTTTTTTATAATATTTTTAGCAATCTTTGAAATCTCGAAATTAGGGGAAGGATCATTGCGCTCAACTTAAATTTACTTCTTTAAGCTGTTTTTTCACACCGCAAGTTCGCCTTCCCGAGGAAATAAAAGGAATTTTCCCGACAAACTCGCAGGCCCCAAGCCATAAATGGGACCAAAAGGGCCGCTCCCGAAGATCGCTG